AAATTACAAAATAAAAATATATAAATAAATATATGAAAAAATTATCTAATTTCGGTTTCAAATTAAAATGAAATCATAATTGGCCGGTTTCAAAACCAGCTTAGAAACCGTCCAAAAGTGGCTCAACTACTCCAAGCACTTACGGCTTTAAATGCGTCTTACTAGTCTAAGGATTGCCCATCTTTATGTACATAACTTATACCTTGTCAGGGGCGGACGTAGGCCAGGGCCAAGAGGGCTGTGCCCCTTCCCAAAAATAAAAAATATCAATTTTCAATGTAAAAAATTTTTGAAAAAAAATAAATTTTAGTTATGTCACCCATAATTAAGTAAATTTAATTTTTGGCCCCTAATTATTTGGGCTAAGTCCGCTACTATACCTTATGCTTAGCTGATATTGGATTCGCCTAAAGGTAACCTAACATTTCCAGTCAGGACCTTATTTGACGCGAATGTTACACTTCGACTACTACTAGCTATAAGGATAAGGCTTGGCTATGATACCAAGTTTGTATCATCCCAAACTTAACAACATATTGTCCGGTTTGGCCGAGCATCCTTACTCTAGACCCTCACAGCTTTAAATGCATCTTACTAGTCTAAGGTTTGTTCATCCTTATATATATAACTTTTACCTTATGCTTAATCGATATTAAATTTATATAATGATAACCTAACACCTCAAGCTAGCATCTCAATCAGTGCAGATGTTACAATTATGGTTCCACTCTTCTTATGACCAGAACTGACAATTCTAAAATCGAAACCAACAGTTTTAAAATCGTGGTCATGTCTGATTATGGGAAATGTTTTTCTTAACTCAAAAGAATCTTTAAATGAAAAAAGTGGTTCTAAATTTTATGTTCTAACCATATCTTTTCCGTATCCAAATATTTAAAAAAAAAAAAAACAATCCATATAAAACTAATCAAAAGTACCAAATTTAGTTAACATAAATATATAATTAAACAGCAATTTAAAAAATTGATCATGAATACTAAAGCAACAAGTTTTCAATGTATCCTTTATATAGGGAAGCCAAAAATATTTTATAGCAAAATTCAAACAAATTCTTGATAGTCGAAGAAAATAAAATTTAGCAGATAAAATAAATAAAATTTATATTGATTTTTTCTTTAGAGATAGTAAACATATATATAGTGGTATATGATAGAATAAAACTTTGGCAATACGATTCTTATTCTTAAATCAGATTGAAAGAAACTTCTCAATTAAAGTTGATAATATATAATTTATGTAATATTGATGATATTATTTAATTTTTTATCAAATTTATTAATTTTATAATATGTATATTATCAATTTTAATTATTGAAATTTTATTTGATTTATAATTCCTTTAGGTTTGTTAAAATCTAATATAAAAGTCTTTATATTTGTCCATACCTTTATGTTAATATTAATATTATTATATATAATACTACTTTATTTAAATTTTAATTAAATTAATTTTTTACTATACAATTGCTTTTCTAAATTAAAATTTATTATTATAATCTTTTGTGATGATATTTTATTAACTTATTTATTCAATATTATTTAGCTTTACAATCAAATTAAATTATCTTACTTTTTCCAACCAATAAAATTAAAAGCCTTAAAAATATTTTTGTCAACTATAATATTCTCCCTCATCCCCAAAAACAGACACACATATAATTTTAAAATTCAAAATTCTATACCTCTTTCTAGAGTGAGTATTTAATTTAATATGACAGAATAATATAGAAATCAATTCAGTATCAAACGGAATCAGATCGGTTCGGATTTGATTTAATTCTTTTGAGCCAAACCACCTATTTTGAACTAAAGAATAAATTCGGTTAGCTATGTATAAGACCGAACTAAAACAGAAACCCAAATAGTTATGTCCAAACTGAAAGGTAATTGGTTTTAAAAAAAATTGATGAAACCAAATTGAAATGAATTAGTTGAATTCAGTTTTTGAGTTACACCCAAATGCAGCACACCCCTCATTATGACTTTTAAAATGATTGAAACAATAAAAATAAGAAAAATAAGTCAGCATCAACTTAAAATTACCAAGATTTGTATGAAAATTATTTTCTTCGAAAAAAATATCAACCCAAAATTTTTAGTTAATTTGATTTTATTTAGAATTTTAATTGGGGCCTCGTACTTCTAAATCTATTTCAATATCATTTAAGTCAAAAGTTATTGTTAATGAACTTTTAATTTGATTTAGTTAATTTTAAAATTATTAAGTTAATATACATAAACAAAATGATCGAATGATAGTTGACAGCTCTGAATTTAAACTAAAATCGAATTGAAATTGAACTGAAAGATTGAGCTAAATAAGCTTTATAATGCTGATTTTGAACCTGACCAAAAATGTCATTCACGAGCCTAATTTTAGTTCACATCCTCTTACCATTCAGATTGAAATAGACCGCTAGTTGAATTGACGATTGCAATTGATTATGAGTAATGAGAGAGAGAGAGAAAAAAAAAAAAAAAAAAGACCGCTTAGTTGAATGACGATTGAACGTGATTATGAAGGTAATGAGAGAGAGAGAGAAAAAAAAAAAAAAAAAGCCACTGAAATGAGTCTCATTGAAACCACGTTGAAATAGGAGCTAGCGGACCTAAAACCCTCCTCCAATTAGCTAAAAACCCAAAAGGGAGTTGATTTAGCTCGAGTTTGAATCCTCACGTTTTGAAGAACTCTAAAAAAAAAAAAAAAAAAGCTCACTGAAATAGTCTCATTGAAACCACGTTGAAATAGGAGCTAGCGGACCTAAAACCTCCTCCCAATTAGCTAAAACCTAAAAGAGTGATTTTAGTTCGAGTTTGAATCCTCACCGGTTTGAAACTCTCTTCTAACGGTACAACCATAAGATGCCTAATATATAAATTTACCTTTAAATTTTTTTATTTTAATTTTATGACATTTTTAAATTTTATTTTGATTTATCAAATATTTTAATTTATAATATTATATTTATTAAATACCTCAATTTTTAAAATTATTTTATTGAACACCTCAACTTGTAAATTAGATTAATTAAATGCTCATTAAAAATTTAAAATTTATGAAAATTATTATTTCAGAAGTCATGCTAATTACGTATCAAGTTGATATTTTACAGATAAAAGCTAAAAATTCTAAAAAAAATATTGATATTAATGTCGAAAATTGTGTAATATTGTTAAAATTTACAAGTTTCAATGCACGATGGTCTTCTGCAAAAATTTTAAAATGTCATAAGATTAGAATTGTAAAATTCACTAAAAAATTTAAGATATCATAAGATTATAATTGTAAAATTCAAGAGTGAATTTATGTATTCAGTCTGACACAAGATAAAAATAGGTGAATTTATAAGTTTACAAGTATTATTGATAATTTTAAAAAGTGACATTGGTTGAAAAAATCTATATAATTATGAATTTCTTTTATTTATATATAATACTTTAAAAGGGGGATTTTGATTGGGGGCAAGCGTATCTCTATTAACCGTTTCAGTTATTATCATGTCCTAACAACAACTTAAGGATAGGTAAAGAGCAGAAAGCATAATAAGAAATGATAGGGAAAACTCTGGAATTGAAAACCAATGAAGTAATTTCATTTCCAATATGCCCTTTTTGCTTTATCGAATTGGAATTCAAGTGGGCAAACACAGCCTAACCAAACAATATGAATACATGTGTGTGGGTCTTATTCATTCCTATTTTTTGATATTCTCCCAATTCAATTGAATTATTCGATTCTTATCCATACCTGAAATTGAAGTTCTCGTTTACTGCTAAAAATTTGAAAGGGTGTCATATTTAAATCTGTTAGGAAATAAGACGGTTTATTCACATAGAAGGATTATTCCTTTGTAATTTACTCCACTATTAAGTTGTTTTTATTATTATTTTATTCATATAGACTCAATAAACCAAAAAATTTTTTTACTATTGTATAGCCTTTTTAAATATTATAAATTTACGATAATTTTATAATGGAGAAGACGTTAAATCATAATCGTATTTAACATGACAGATTGACAGTACTAATCAGATTACGTTTGATTGACATTTATTTTTTATTATTAAATGCATGATTTTAAATGAGATTCATAATTCCTTTAAAGAAAAAGAGATTCATAATTAGTATATATTATCATTCACTCTATTTAAAATATAAGTAATTTAAGATTTTTTTACCAAATTAAGAAGGTAATTAATTTTGTTAAAAATAAAACTGAGGGTAATTTGACTAAATTATTGTTTATTTTAATACCAGGGTAATTTGTAAAAATAGTTATTGTATATATTATTTCAATTCTATAATATTTGTCACATTTAAAATTTCATGTCTCTTAAGAAAACCATTAAATTTGTCTAAGTTACAATAAATTATTGAGTAAATTGACTATAATATCCTTAATTTAATATTATTTTTTTAAAAAATCATTAAAGTGAAGTAATAATTATTGGTTATATATAAAGAGTAAACATGGAAAAAAAATGTACATTACCCCTTCAAATCACGAATGTGATAAGTATTTTGGAATAAATTATTTTTTCAAACTTGACACGTATTATGGGTAGTAATATAAATAAAGTTAATGTTGAAAAAATATTATTTATTACTCTGTAAAATACTTAAAATAATTTATATTTGAAGACAAAACAACACTCTAAAACGATTTATATTTTGGAATGGACAGAATAATTCATTTCAATTTTATTAGATTTTGTAACAACATAATATCATACACCAATAATTTGTGTGCGGATTCTTAGTTTTATTTATTTATAGAGTATTTGAGCATAAGAAAGAGAACTTTAATTTAATTTTGTTTTAGATTAAGTGGGGATTTATTTTGGAAGAAAATAGAATAAATGTTAAACATAAATAAAAAAAGAAAAAATTTGTAAAACCTGTTGCTTGGTGATAAAAGTTAAAAAGTAAAAGTAAAAATCACTCAACATGGATGTTGACTTCAGCGAGAGAGAGTACAGACATAGCAAATAGCATTAATTAGACTGTAATAATAAATTTTTAGACCCGCTGTCTTCTCTATGATTCCTCCCCACCTCGTCCCCCCTCTCCATAAATACCCCCACCTTCTTCCCGCTTTCCTCATTCGCTCCCATCTCCATACTCACACACACTTCTCTACTCTCTCTCCTCCTCTCTTTCTAACCAACAACTCAAAATGGCAAATCTGGATGTGCTCTGCATTATATCTCTGTTTTCTCTGTTCTGGGTAGTTAACGCAAGAATCCCCGGCGTTTACACCGGTGGGTCATGGGAGAGTGCTCATGCTACTTTTTATGGCGGTAGCGATGCCTCTGGTACTATGGGTACGTAGATTCTCTTTTTTTGGAGATCTATCACATCTGTCTCTATATCTCTTCTTTTTAACTCCAATTCTTTTGGTGATTTGATTTTTTAGCCACATTTTTTACTATATGTGCAAAATCTCCATAAACTTGTATTGTAGAGATGGATCTCTACTTTGCATGCGAACTTGAAATCAAACTCTATTTCTCTGTTTTCCTTTTCCCATTTATTTTGATCTTTGAAGTGTTATTTTGTAGGTGGTGCTTGTGGGTACGGTAATCTGTACAGTCAAGGGTATGGAGTGAACACAGCAGCATTAAGCACAGCACTTTTTAACAATGGCTTGAGTTGCGGCGCTTGTTTCGAGATCAAATGCGCAGATGATCCTAAATGGTGCAATCCCGGTAGCCCTTCCATTTTCATAACCGCCACTAACTTCTGTCCTCCTAATTTCGCTTTGCCTAGCGACAATGGTGGCTGGTGCAACCCACCTCGCCCCCACTTTGATCTCGCCATGCCCATGTTCCTCAAGATCGCTGAGTACCGTGCAGGAATAGTCCCGGTTAATTTTCGCCGGTGAGTAGCCTGAACGTCTCTTTCTTTTTTATATTCTGTTTGATTATGTGCTAAATGGTACCATTCTAAATATGGATTATGATCTTGCTTCAAAATCTGTCGTTAAAAATTGGTGAGAGCTATATTTTCCTAGAGAACAAACATTGCATTCACTTTTCCTGCTCTGTGCTTTTCTGGGGAAACAAACGAATTTCTCAAAAGAACAAGCGTAGTGGCTAATTGCTGGCAAAGAATCATATCCGACGCTTTTACCCATAGAAAACAAACGCAATCTGCTTCTCCTTTTTGGCTTTTTGGTCACTTCCGGAAATGCTTCACTTGCTCGCAGCGCATCACTAAAAGACACAAATAACCTTGCTTTTTCATCACTATTACAACAATCCATTGTTCAATTCCGGAAAATCTGGAGAACGGTAAAAAGGACAAAAATTCACACGTAGTCCCACACGTGTGATTCGAGTTAGTGTTTAATAATTAATTAATTTCATTTTATTATTTTGTTTCACAGGATACCTTGCAGGAAGCAAGGCGGGATCAGATTCACGATCAACGGTTTCCGTTACTTCAACCTGGTTTTAGTCTCCAACGTCGCAGGTGCAGGGGATATCGTGAAGGTTAGCATCAAAGGGTCAAAGACAGACTGGTTAAGCATGAGCAGAAACTGGGGCCAAAATTGGCAATCCAATGCAGTACTTGTGGGCCAGGCTCTCTCGTTTAGAGTCACGGGCAGTGACAGGCGTACATCAACCTCATGGAACATCGCACCCGCAAATTGGCAGTTTGGTCAGACCTTCACGGGAAAGAATTTCCGCGTCTGATTTTTACCCTTCCAAAATATTTTTTTTTTTCAAAAAAGATTTGCAAGTTTTATAATTAATATATAATATATAATTATTGCAAGTGCTTTTCCCGCCTTCAATTTTCCTTAATTTTCTCGGGAAAATTTGAAGTTGGGCGCGGGAAAAGGTAAAGAAAATAGATAATTTGGGGATTCTTGGTTAGGGTTTAATTTGAGTAGGGAGAAATTAGTAAAAAGTGAATGTGTCTATGGTAAAACTTTTTTATACTATGGACTTTTTGTGAGTTGTTTTTTTTTTTTTTTTTTTTTTTTTTTTTGATGCCAGTATGGGGAAAATTAGTAAAAAGCTGAATTGTGCTATGGTAAAACTTTTTGCCTATACTATGGACTTTTTGAGTTGTTTTTTTTTTTTTTTATTTTTTTTTTTTTTTTTTTTTTTTTTTTCTTTTATGTGTTAAAAAAACCATTGATGAATGGTTAGTAAGGGGTTCATAATTGAGGCTGAAGCGGCTGCAGTAAGGAAACCATGTAGCCCGCAGCTTTGATTAAATGTCTTTTATTGTCTGTCACTGTCGCTGTAATGCTTTAAATAGTTAGTGGTAGGTAACTTCGGTTACTACTTTTTAATGGTTATTACTTGTTGCCTGTGTTATATGGATTATTTCGTGTGAATGTGCCTTTTTAAGAGGATAATAAACTACAATTTTAAAGTTTTCTTGTAAAAGAGATATGCTAAAATAGTACTCTTCGTGTCCCAAAAACAAATTCAAAAATATAATTAATTTTCTTAAATTATAAAAAAAATTCTTAATCAAATTAATTTTTATTTCAAAATTAAAATTATCTAGTGAAGGCACTTATTAAATCTAATGTAAATAAAGATTACTTCAAAGAGATATCATTTATTATTTTTTAAAATGACTTTTATTTTGAAATAAGATAATTTATATTTTGGGATGGAAGAGCACAGAGCAAAGATGGAACTTCAGACTTTCAAGGGCTTTTAAGAATTGAGAATAATCACCCGAGTGGGCTTTTGAGGACTGTTAATATGGAAAAACCTTCGGATTTCAGAACCAACTGCAAATTAGCTAAGCTTCATGGCCAAAATTTTAACCATCTTTGAGTATGTTACAGTGAATTGGAAAATAATGAGCAAAAATGGATTCACTATCATCATGCAAGAAAACTACATTGGAGGTGAAGTTTTTTTTTTCTTACACAATTAATAACAAAAAGACTTGATGTCATATAAGATGAGGGTATTAATAGGAAAAAGAACACTTCTCAAAGTTGGCAAAATAAAGGAAAGGAGAGCAAGTAGACCCTCCTCTCCTCCTTGTCGGTGGATAGTCAGAAGTCCATGTGCCTTGTCTCCCTTTTCTATCTATAAGTATGTATAACTACTGCTACTACTCTTATTAGGTGCCTTGTTTGTAGGCAGCACCGCCACTGATAATATTTTTCTAGCCGGCGGCTCACGCCATCAAACTTTTAAAGCTTCGCCTTTTGCCCAAAAACTGCATCTTCCCATCTTGATTAGGCTGGAAGGAAGCAATAGCCTATTTATAGAAAATATGGCTCGCTATGCAATGCATGTGGACTCGCTTTTTTACTATTATTCTTTAAACGCCAGAGATATTTCGTATGAAATTAGCTTTAATTAAAATGTTTTTTTTTTGGCATGAAGTTGCAATGCAGATTAGGCACGTAGAAAAAGTTTTCGAGTTCCATTCCTGCTAAATACACCCATATAAAGGAGTGAAGAGTTTTAATTATGACTAAACCCCGAGCAGTATTAGACAGTCCTAAATAATTGGTCCAGATACTTGTGGTTTATAGCTTCAATATCTTATAATTATAACATCTTCTCATTCTTTCATGGGATTATGACTTTTCAATTAGGAGCAGCAGGAAAATAGATCTAAATTGCAGAAAGATGAATCTTCTGGAGAACAAACATTCTAGTTATTGGGATGCTCATATGGATATTAAAGACAGAAAGGAATCTAAAATTTACTAATATCTCTTTCGTATGTGAATAAATACATAAGTTTTTTTTTCTTATAATTTTTTCAGTTTGACAAAAAATACCAAAAAAACGCCGTCTGTGGGGATCGAACCCACGACCACGTGGTTAAAAGCCACGCGCTCTACCTCTGAGCTAAGACGGCTTCTTGTCTTAACTTCTTCAAGACTATTTGAGAAAAAAAACTGTTCTAATTAATGTTACCAATAATACAATTTAGCATAAATCTTCAATTATTCTCGTGAAGAAGGCATATGAGGCTAGTTTTATGATTAGTGTTTTGTCTTGGCATATTATTAATAATTCATTGATTCAATCATTTCTCTCTCTCTCTCTCTCTCTCTCTCTCCTCTCTTCTCTCTCTCTCTCTCCTCTCTTCTCTCTACTCTCTTTTTTTTTTTTTTTTTTTTTTTTACAGTTTCCTCAAAAATAAAATGTTATATAGTAAAATATAATGAAAAAAAAAGAAATACAAAAAAAAAAACCTCTATTTGAGATTAGCTTTTGGTCTTACAGTCCATTAATTCAATAATTTCATTTTTCTTAATTTTCCTACAATTTCTTGGTGCATGGATGCACTTATACCACAAAAAATACACAAATATTCTAGTTTAAACTTTGGCAAATTGATTTTGTCAACCGCGAAATTGCAATAGGTGAGTGGCCGTAGTGGATTCGTAACACTGTGTTTAGATGAGAAAAAAAGAAAGAAAAATAAACAAGAAAGAAAAATTTAAAATGTACTCCCTTCACTCTAAAATGTACGTAATTCATTTTAGGGTAATTCTTTTATCCTAAAATAAAAGTCTTTTTGAATATTTTAAAAAGTAATAAATGATATATTTTTTTTTAATTTTATACTATTAGATATAATATAATTATGTGAGAAATGAGTAATAATGTGAAATAAAAGATAATTCGATCAAATTACTTTTAATTTTATTATAATTATTTTATTATAATTTAAGAGAATTAAGTGATTCATTTAATCCACGTATAATAACCTTAAATAACTTATATTTTAGGGTAAAGTGTCATTTGAATAAAAGGGAGAACAAGGAAACTAAATAAATTTTCTTTGTTAACTATTTTTTTCTTTAATTTCATTTTAAGTTTAAGAGAATAGATGTAAGAGAACTAATTTGTGTATAAAATGTCACAGGGAACGAAGAATATTCTTACTTATACAAATGGTACTTCGAATTTGTTATGAGTAGTGTATTTTTTAAGTCGTTTGGCGGATCTATTGCTCAATATTTTTGGAAAAAAATTATTCCTAGAACTGGGAATTGTCAATAGATCATTCGATTTAATTCAATTCTGACTTTAATAATCTTTTACATTGCAAGAGTCTAAAGAAGCATTTAGGGATTTGTTGATGATCCATGATTACAGAGATGATCCATGATTACAGAGTTGATCGAAACTTGACTCTTTCTTCCCCAGCAATTTCCAGCCATATTCCATTCCGCATTATTCATGGTTTGTATAAATTAGCTTGCTTTTCTTTTATTTGTCTCAATTTATAAGTTTATAATTTTTCATTGAATTTTTTTTATTGAAAATTGCATCAAATAGCATGAGATTGATATTGATATAGACATATATTAAAAAAACGTAAATAAAATTTACTCTATAAATTATATTAACTAGTTTTTCTAATTATCTCTTGGGATAGGGGAGAATTATTTTTTTACACTTTTCCCAATTAAAAAATAAAAATAAAAATTTATATTTGTCTTTTACAAGAAGAGGGGCAAAACTAAAAAACTAAAATTTATAAAGGACAAAAAAAAAAAGGATCAAAACAATAATCTGCGTAAAGATTTCTTATTTATTTATTTATTTTTTTACAACTTTAGTTATTATGGATAAATAAAATGGATGAATGTAGGAATAATAAAATGGGTGCCAAGCTAGGCAGCTACTTGCACAGTAAAAACGCCGTCTGTGGGGATCGAACCCACGACCACGTGGTTAAAAGCCACGCGCTCTACCTCTGAGCTAAGACGGCTTGATTGGTTAACAGTGACCAAACATTAGAAATTGAAAAAGCTTCAAGGTTTACCGCGAAGATAATTATTTACTCATTAGCCAGAACAATAGTAAACTTAGACATTTGTTTATGCTCAAGCACCCTAATGAATTTCCAAATATTTTTTATAATTTAAAAATTAAAATAATTTTTATTTTCTAAAAGATGAATTTAATATACAGAAATTTGTTTATGCTCAAGCACCCTAATAAAAAATTTTTATTTAAAAAATATCCATGTATAAATTAAATAAAATAATAAATAATAAAAATAATTTTCAATTTTTTAAACTTAGACATTAATTCAGTTATATATATATTTTTTAATTCATTGGAGGCTTAATGGTTCAAAATATCATTGCGGAATAATACAATAAGAGCAATTCTCCCCTTAGCTCATCAAATTAGTGAAAACAACTATAATAAAAAAGATTCGAACTCGAGACTAATGAAATATGTTGTTTGTGAGTTTTTCATTATTTATTTCTATATAAATATGTTGTTGAATAATATAGCTGACTTGTACAAATATAGGCTAAAACCTTCAATGAAACATAGTTTGACGGAGTTAATGGAGATCAACAAGGTCCATGGCCTAGATCAGTGATTTTCATTGCACTTAAGAAGGGTGCTAGTCTAAGGTCTCGTCAAGAGGAAGAGCCTACGGCCCTTTCCTGATTTGAGCCTCTAAAAATTTATGGGTCTATCTCAGCTTTATTTTGATACCATTGTGGGCCTTAGGCTTTGCCTTTGTTACTTTTCATACTTCTAGTCATGATTTTATTTTTGAGTAAGATTAACAATAATTCAAGAAATTACTAAATTTAAAAAATAATTTTCAAATTATTAAGAATTATTTTAATTTCAAAGTAAAATTATATTATAAAATTAAAATCTAAACAATTTAAATCATAGGTCAAGTTTTTCCATCTCAAAAATTTACCTAGACCGGATCTATCAATGATCTATTTATAGACTTAACCAATAAAATTAAAAATTTTTATTAAAATGATGGTATTTTTGAACATATATTTAGAAGAAAAATGATAAAATCGAAATATTTTGTAAAAAATTTTTAGTTTCATCTATTTTATTTAAGAGCGAAACAATGGTTCGGTGAAGTGATTTGTAACATCTGGCATAATCGTTAGTTTCCAACATAACATGTTCTTTTTATTTTTTTTAGTTTAAGTATTAATTCAACATCTGAAAAACAAAAATGCAAAAGCAAAAGCAATAACAGAGGGAGGATTTGAGTCTTTGTTTAAGCATATTTTTGAAACGGATCCAAATGAAAAGCTGATCAAGACTTTTGCTTGTTGCCTTTCAAAATCTACTGGACTTGTTGCTGGAACCATTTCACTGTTAGGGTTTGTTAGCTTAAGGTGAAATTTAGAGATTTTGAAAAATAATTTGGGATTTCCTTCTATTATATTGCATAAGCGTCAACTAAGGGCGAACGGGGTTTCAATAATATTCTCTCTCTTGCACATCCTTTTTTTTTTTTTTTTTTTTTTTCCTTCTATTATATTGGCATAGCGGTTCACTAAGGGCGAGACGGGGTTTTCCAAATAATATTCTCTCTCTTTGCACATGCCTTTTTTTTTTTTTTTTTTTTTTTTTTTTTTTTTTTTTTTTGAAAAATTAAACAGTGAAAATGATGGGAGGCCCAATTTCTGATGGACTTATAAATTTAGGAATATCATAGTTTATTATAGTACCGCCCATTTTTTTTTTTTTTTTTTTTTTTTTTTTTTTTTTTTGAATTTAAACAGTGAAAATGAATGGAGGACCCAATTTCTGATGGACTTATAATTTAGGAATATCATAGTTATTATAGTACCTCCATATAGAAGGATCTAAGTCTTAATTGGATTATGTGACCTCAGAAGTATTATAGTATTTTCTTTTCCAAGCGGTGAGATAAATTTTATGAATACAAATACTGAGATGGAATAAGACAAATATACTATGATCACTAAATATTACTATTGAGCTATTTGGTATTTTTATGTTGCAGAATGTGGTTTGAGTAAATGCAGGGACATGAAAAAAAAAAAATGAAAAAATGAAAAACTTCTAAAATAAATATATTTTATTTTATTTTTAAATGATACAGTGGTACATCATTTATGGATTTTCAGCTGATGAATACAGCGGTACAAGTTAACAACTTGATATACACTGATACAGGCTAACGTATTGAAATTTATATTTTTTATGTTTGCTCTAGCAAGAATTGAACTGAACTAAATTGGTAATAATACTTAAAAAAGGATAAGCAGGTTGGTGGTACAGTGAGTGAAATGTGCACAAACGGGTATCTTCAAACCAATTGTTGGACTCAAAATACTTTGAATTGGCCTTTTTTCTATTGTCTCAAAACTCTATTTGAGCTTAGGAAAAAATTCTCTTCACCTGCAATGGTTGAATGCAGTCTTCCTGCAGCCCAACCATTGTTCATAGCACGAACAGCAGCCTGAGCTGGATCACCAGTAACTCGACTTCCGTCTATTTGTTTTTCATATTCTGGAAGACCACTTGCCTTTCTTTCTTTTCTTCTCTTCCTCTCCTCATCTCTTTCTTTCCTCAGCCAGCTCTCCACTGTTCTCTACAAGCCATGTCATCAGGGCATTAACCATTTGAAAAGGATACAAACAGTGTAATAAAAACAAATATTTTATGATGTCTAGGAGAATCAAAACTAATAATTCAAGAATTAGGCACCAACAACTAACCATAAGTGACAAATTGCTGATCTCCTTCACTTTTGCCATTGGCATTGCTAATTGTAACTTCCCATGAGCCACATACGCCTGCGCAGAAATGATTTAGACATTAAGGACATGCAGCACACTATAATATGTTTATCGAAGAGCTAATGAAAGGAAAAAAGACATACAATATGGGTTGGCCACTCCTCTAATCCATCAAATATATGGGTTGCGTAAATAATTGTAGCACCTCTTTCTTCACATTCTTTTGTCAAGAACTTCAGAAGGTCAGCCCTTGCCAGCACATCAAGGTCAACTGTTATCTCATCAAGAAGAAGAACCTAGATAAACAGCAAGGTAGATGAGACATTTGGACAAACACTAACTAGGATATATAGAACCTCATTGGCTTACTCAAAGAAAATGAGAAGGTTAATTACATAGCAATAAAAACTATTCAAATAAGACAAAAATGCAAAAAGAAGATACCTTGAATGGCTTTAGGAGACCCATGCAAATTTGCACTCTTCTTCTTTGACCATCAGAAACCTTGTGCATCCTCCATGAGAGATCAATATCTAATACCTATCCTACCAAGAAAGCAAGTTGCATGTTCATAGTGTGGCATGTGGCATAGGCAGCAAAATAAAAATAACGTAAAAATACTACATAACATGTGAATTAAATGTATCTAAGGAAATATATGTAACTTCTATTAATCACCTTTAGTAAAATTAATTATTAATGAATAGTATAATGCATTAACTTCTTCCAGCATTTAGATAAAAAGTTCCCCATGCTGAATGAAGATCCATAAGAGCTGTTCCTTTTTGGTTAAATTATTTAACAAATTAGATCCTTGAGGAAAATGGCTACTTTGATCTTCATAAAACACTTGCCAACTAAGGCCAGAAAAATAAAGAATAAATCTGATAATCACCTAAAATAGTCTGTGCTGTTAAAAAAAAAAAAAAATCCCAAGAAAAGAACTGAGCCACTTTTAATTCACAAGGCAGGTTATATGAAAAATTTTCAGACCTGAAGGGTATAGATGACGTATGAAGCCCAAATATGAAGATTGACTAGTGTAGTGAAGGCAGTTGGTCACTACTAGAGTGAGGCAACATGGTATTTTTTTTGTGATGAGTTTACTAGATTGAAATCTTACCCTGATTAGTTCTGCTCTTCTTTGAGGATCGCTACCTGCCACACCAAATATCATTTTCTCTGCAGAAACATCCATTTGTATGGGAATATCAAAGCCAGCAAAAGCAACTTCTCGCCTCCACTGCAGAAGCAAAGTTTGATTTACAGATATTATGGAATAAATTTTTAATTAGGAAAATTCTGAAATTCATATAATTGGAGGAAAATTTTGGTTGAAACAAGTGGAACACTCCATGACTTGATATTTTAGGCTGTCTTCGGCTACAACTTTTTAAATGCTGCTTAAAAAACTGTTCGGTAACATAGTATTTGGACTAGCTTTTAGAGATTATGACGGCGTTTTGTGAAAAGTTCACTCATATAACATTTAGCTTTTAGAGTTTTATAAAAAGCTACTCAAACAGCTTGTGTAATTCATTTACAAACGACACTTAACACATTTGGTGTGCATAGAAAATTCAATTGGAATCCTACAATGTGATATCCAAGATCATCAGAATTTACAGATGAAGTGTAATCTAGTAAGCCTAAAAATATGACTTGGCTAAACTTGGTAGAATTTGCAAATAAATTCATTACTTACTACATATCTAATAAAATCCCTACGGAAATGAAAAAAAATTTCCATATCTGTTTATTCAAATATAAATTGTAAAATACTTTCTCTCCCCAAAACAGATAAGTTAATTCACTAAACATACTAATGGAGTTCCTTTTCGTCAATATCTTTCCTGCTTTACTCATGAAGTGAACTATAATTAAAACCCTGCCTTTTCCGAAGATTCAAAATAACCAAATCTTAACTGCAATAGCTACACCTACACATATGCCCGTGTAATGAAGAAAAAAACAAACCTCTCCTCCAAGATAACAGAGATCACCAGACGTCGTCAAAGCAGTGTCGTGAAAAGCAGACCCTCCCAAAACACGAACCATCTGCGGTTCTACCATATGCTTCCCTCCCAATATCTTCAATATCGTTGTTTTCCCTAATCGATTTTTCATATAAAAAAAAAAAATCAAATTGAACTCAATTCTTATAACCAAAGCTAACATCTTCTTCACTATGTATAAGCAAGTATAAGAAAGATTATACGGACCGGCGCCATTGGATCCAACGAGAAGGCAGCGATCACCAGACTTGAGTGTGAGAGAGAAATCATCGATCAAAGGTTTGGATCCAGGCGGTGGATATCCGTCGATTCCTGGATACGTGAACTTGAGACCGCTGATCTCTATTGTTGGTCCTTGAAGCTCCACGACTGCCATTTCTAACAATGTTCAAGATTGAGAAACTCTGTTCAAGAGTTTAATTTCTCAGCTTCTAAGTACTCTCCCTCTCTCACCTAACACTTCAAATACAGGAAAAAGAAAATAGAAATTTGGAAAATACTTGCTACGTGGCCCGCTTGGGGTTGACGGGAATATTAGTTAAACGTGGCACAATAATATCCGTCCATTATATTGACAGTGTGGATCCCACAAAACCTACGGTAAAGATCGGCAATTTGAGTTGATTGTATTTGTACTGCTTTGGTGATCTCGTTGTTAGATTTTTCTATCTTTTTTCTTTCATTTTCCTCTCCTTGTTTGGATTCAGAGAAAGAGTTTGGAAAATGGCAGCGATTTACAGTCTATACATTATAAACAAATCAGGTGGTTTGATCTTCTACAAGGTATGCTTGCTGCTTCAGTTTTTATGCCTTCGTTTCCTCCGGAACTGCTTTCCGATAGTTTTTCTTTTTCAATTTTTTATTTATTCTGCAGATTTGATCACTTAGTTTTTTGGAGACTTACAATTTTTTTTAAAAAAAAAAATTTAGTTTACTTGTAAATTTTAATAGATAGATGGGTAAGCAAATATTAGAAGCTACAGATTTTACTGGCATTTGGTGAGTGAGCCAGAATATGATATTTGAATAAAGCAATCATAAAACCTCAATAAATGTGAATTTAACTATTAGGGTTGTTTGGTTCCTGGGAAAATCTGGAATTCTTTTTAAGGAACAGAAAGGCTAATGTTTTATTGGGAATTATTTAAAATTGTCATCTGAGCTGTAAATCTAAGATAAGAAGTAAGGCGGAACCATTGACTGAACAAACAAATTGTTGAAATCCTCACCTTTTGAAAGCTTATGTACTGATAAGAGCAGTTTCAACAGTTTTCTTATTTTCTCCCCAATCAACTGGGGATGCGTTCTGCAAACATATGGTCTAATACAGAAATTGACTTCTAATGTTACATAGTCTCTTGGCAATAATGAAGTAATTCGAAGGAAAAAAAGGGGAAATTAATAGAATATACAGACTCCCTTTGTGTTTTTGATCATTGAAAGATGGAAGAGGTGAAAAAATGATAAAAAATAAGGCCAAATGTACTTGTAAATGAACTTTTATTCTCCCTACAGGTATTAGGACTTTTCTTTTATGCAATGAAAGCTAAAGGAGTTTTCTTTCTTTTCTTTTCTTTTTCTTTCTTTTAACCAAAAAACAGGGAGAGACTGGGAACGTGTTAAAATTACACCAAGCATAAAAGAGCAAAAGAGAAAATGTGGGAAAATATATGAAGTTTTATTTTCTAGAATGGGGTAGATGGAACTTTTTTTTAATGGGAAAAACATTTAGTGTAGCGTAAACTTACTCTTTATGTAATTTCACCAAATTATTAATATTTGATGGGAACTGTTGCAGTTCTTGTTGTCTGCTGCAGCATATCAGGCTTTTTGATGATCTTCTTGTTTATTTTATTATGAGAAAATTAGGATTATGGATCTGCTGGACGTATGGATACAAATGATAGCTTACGTGTGGCTAGTTTATGGCATTCAATGCATGCAATATCTCAGCAATTATCACCGACTGTTGGTTGTTCGGGCATTGAACTCCTTGAAGCTGATAAATTTGATCTCCATTGTTTCCAATCCCTTACTGGTATGCAAAAACTTAAATTTTACTTGTGCTCTCATAGTTTGGTTACTATATAAATTGAATGAAAATACTATGCAGTAAATGATAAGAATCAAATTTTCTTTATTGCTCTGGATTCCATACCTGGACGCTCTCAATTTTACTAATTTTTATGGCTGTAAGTGCTAATCAGAGATTTTGATACATAAAATGCAGTTAATGCAATATATTCACATCTTTGATTTCTGCTTTCTAATGTAGCTTTTATTTTAAATTTGATACAGCAGCTTAGTCAAGAAAAACTCAAATATTTATAATTTGGTAAAAAAGCCTCAATCATTTGAAAGTAGACCAAGAAACAAAAGAGTTTTATCGGCAGCCAATTTATATCACTAAATGATTATATAGAGAGTAAATGTTTTAAGTGTGAGTTTTGACTTTATAATAGCAGATACTAAGTTATGTTCTTCAAACTGATTTTGTGAAAGTTTACATGCAATTCTCATTGGTCTTGTATGCTTTCATCTGTGTGGGGAATACTGCATATTTTTGCTGCTAAGTTGCCATCACTCATGCTGGTTGCATGGTCAAACCTTGACTTAGCATGGGAGACTTTCCAGTTTCTCTGAGTGATATATCGAATTAATGTTTTGGTCAGAAGTGCATGTGGTGCAGACAAGCAAACCGCAAAGGTCCAAGAACTTTAGAAATATGGTCTAGATTTTATCCAGGATTTATATTAGATGTTACATTATATTTCTAGTTCTTTTGGAGTTATATTTATATGTCTATATTAATATATAAGTTGCTTATCAAGAACTTTAAGTCTAATGGAGCAATTCTGTAATTTCATCTTTGCTGGAAACCTGTCCTTATCGATTTTGGAATATTTTAGTCTTCATTGGTTTAGGATAATGGTATTCCTTTTTAGTTTATTTTGGGAGTTCAAATAATTGAAGGATGAGGACTAGTTTTGAAGTTCTACGAAGTAAAAGTTCAGGAGTGATTTGGGTCTATGGATACCTATGCTTGTAGAAGTAAAAGTTCTTCGGTCAATAAAATTACAGCAGATTATGCTTTTATCTTTGAGTTTGTATGATGCAATTCTAACCCTAGCAAGTCTGATTCTCTCTTGGTAGGAGTGAGTCCTAGATCCTATTAGTGTGATGCTAGTAGTTTTTTTTTTCCTTTGCTTAATTTTTCTTATTTTCTAAAGAAATTAACATCTGCAACACTGATATTCAAGTCTTACTTCTTGATTTCTATAAACCCTATCCCTAATCTCCTAAAACTTCAAGTTTTCCCAAGCTGTCCCGTTTCAGCATACTCCTTTTAGCACTTTAATGTGAGACCTCTAATTATTTTGGGAAATGAATGAAAGTATGAAGCCTGTACTTCTAATTAGAAAACTGAAATTGTCTATGAGTTCAATGCATGAAAGCATTCTAATCATAAATTTACTTTCAATAGAGAAATTATATTAATGGGTTTAATACTCAATCAGCAACAGCAAACTGAAATCTAATTAATTGCAGATTCTACACATTGTTCTAAATCAGATTGGTTCCATGTTTTTCCCCCTTTCAGGGACAAAGTTCTTTGTAGTATGTGAACCTGGAACACCGAACATGGAGGGTCTCTTGAAAGTTATATATGAATTATACACAGATTATGTCTTAAAGAACCCATTTTATGAAATGGAGATGCCCATACGATGTGAGCTCTTTGACATCAACTTAACACAAGTAATACAAAAGGATCGCGTTGCTTTGTTTGGGCGATGAGTCACCTGAGGATTTTTTGTTCAGCAATTGTTTTTTCTCATTCTCATTTTTGCATTTTCCATGGGATCTTGTAGTTTATGTAACCTTCTTTTGTTATATTTACTGTTAAACCAATGCAATGGATGAGGGGTGTGTCTGTAGTTATACTTCATATTTTTAGTTGAAGAATTGAATTGATAGAACATGTTTGAAGGATAGAGTTGAATCTTATGCAATTTGGTTGATTTGTGTAGGATAGATGGAGATATTTTACTTAAGTTACAGTTTCTGCATTTAAAAGTTGTCCAGATGAACGGCAGTACCTTACTAACAGAGTTAAATGACCATTTAATTATTCGATTCTGGTGGTGAACTAATTAGATGGATGAAGTTCCTCCTGAGCTTGAAGGATTTTTGTCAGCTAATGTAGTTCCTGCTTCTTGTTCATCAATAAAATCCAGGTTTTGATCTCCAAAAAATATAAATAAAAACAAAATAAAAAGCGTAAAGTTACGAGTATGTTTTTGGATTTTTTTTTCCCTAATACAATAAGCTAATATCAACGGAGATGGTTTATCAAACCTAAAATAGCAAGGAAGAAATGTTTATCCGTCCAATCTCTACAAGCGTGGTAACATCAAATTCTAGAAGAAAGGCATATGCTCAAAAGGAAGTGAAGAAAAAAGCTCAATTATACATTAAAATAGAAACCTTTGCATATCTGTGGCTGTTTTCAAGTACAAAACATTACAGCATCAACATCATCCCCATACACATCTGTCCTCCCTCATTCTGATGAGGAACAGAAAACATACAAAAATGGAGGCATAAATACTACATGCAAAGAGCAAACAAAAAACTGTACACTGCTCCAATAAAGACATGCTTCTACAACATGCTCAAACTCCTGGAACACAGTTACACATCCCAGGACTCCATTATATTAACACACCACAAAAAATCTTACTTGAGCCTTGCCTAGGCAGAAAGAAGGGATGCAGATGGCCGTGGATAAGCAATTTTTCCGGTTTTGGTGTTTCCATGAGTAGTTAGATTCTCCTCCTTTTTATTTGATTCTTGAACTTCCTCTAATGCCTTTACCACTTCCTCCATGTTTGGTCTGAACTTTGGTTCTACATCTAAGCAATTAAGTGCAAGGTTAGCCACCTTTTGAGCCCGGGTAAGGGAGTACTGACCATCAAGACGTGTGTCCAAAATGCGGAAAACTCTTTTTTTGTTTGTCAGGTAAGGCTTTGCCCACTCCACCAGGTTATGTTGCCCAGATGGTCGATTTTTGTCTACAGCTCGTCGACCAGATAAAATTTCTAGAAGTACAACTCCAAAGCTGTATACATCGCTCTTAGCAGTCAAATGGCCTGCTCAAAACCAAATTCAAATTAATTATCAGAACCCATGATAACTTGCAACTTTATTGCTGTATACAAACTCATGGACAAAGTACAGCAGGAATCTAATAGGTTGCATTAACAACCACCAAATTAGTAAGGAGATTTAATTTTTGAATTATGCTATGAGACTTGGAGATTGGCTTCCTTTGCCAATCAGGCTAGTTATGCTTTGTTGGTGTCCTCATGCTCTTTAATAATATGGAAAGTGGGAAATCCTGGACTCAAGTCTCATATCCATCATTACAGTGGGGTGCTGCATTAATATTGTTGAGTTATGAGAGGAAGTCCATTGTTTAACCCACAATTTTATGCCTATTTGGTCTCCTTATAAACCTAAAAAAGAAGGCACCCGTTGCACGCCTTTTAATGGCATTACTGGTATCGTGATTTTTATTTCACAATCTCTACCGGTTTTATTCAATCTTGTTCTCCCCGCAATCTCATGTCAAAATGGATATGTTTGCACACAATTTCCTAAGACTAGGCAGCTGTTTCACATTTCTAATGGTCAAAACAAGTGAAAACTAAATTACTGAACCATGACCCTAGTGCATAGAGAAAACGGCAAAACAAGTACATTGAATAAGAAAACTGAAGCATGCCAAACAGGTTAATATCTGTCCAGTTATGAGAAACAACATAAAAATTGTACCTGTGGCTAAATACTCTGGTGCAGCATATCCATAAGTTCCCATGACCCTTGTGGACACATGGCTCTTATCACCAGTTGGCCCATCCCTGGCTAAACCAAAATCAGAAAGCTTTGCATTGTAGTTCTGCAAATATGTAGAGCAGTAGGGTATGTCAACAAATGCAGATATACTCAAAGTCAACTCAAGCCTTTTAATCTACTATTCAGATGCATATTGTGAAAAAGAGTGATCAAGTAATGACAGATAAATTACATACTGTATCAAGCAGTATATTAGAAGTCTTGAAGTCCCGATATATGACTTTTGCATCAGCACTATGAAGAAATGCAAGCCCTTTTGCAGCACCAAGAGCAACTTTCATACGAATGTTCCAAGAAAGTGGCTGGAAATGAGAGCCTCCTGTTCCAGAATTTGTTTAATGTTTGAGTTAAAAATATAAATCAGGTGCACTCAATATGGTATGCAACTCTCCATACAGGCGAAAGCTGAAGTAGCAGTTAACAGAAATAACAGGAGCAACTCACTCCTAAATAAATGATTCTCCATGCTGCCACGGGGCATAAACTCATAGACCAAAAGGCGATGGTCATCCTCAAAGCAGTAACCAATCAACTTAACAAGATTAGGATGCTCCAATTGCCCAAGATAGTTGATCTCTGCCTGTAAGTCCAAAAGAACAACACAAAATCAACTACGTAACTCGTAATAATCTATCAAATAATCTGGCAATGAAAAAGGCATCTACAATGAAATTTCACAGATACTTAACTAGTACTGTAAATATTTTGCATATCCTAAAGGCTATTTCCATGGGATCAACCACTCAAACTTGTGTAGCCACATTAAAGCATTCCAAAACAAGAAAAACATGTTTCACACTTAATAGATAGACTGTATTGCCAAGTTCCTCTAATTGAGAGAAGTAAACAAATTCTCTCTGATTAAGCATTCCAACAAAACAAAACGGGTAATAATAAAGGCATAAAGAGACATGACCCTCAATTGAAAAGTTCAAAATTAATCAGGAATGACTAGCAAAAGCAATAACAAAAGTTGTAAATCATATAACTGACCAGCCATTCCTTGTGACCCTGGAACCCTTCTTGATTAAGCCTCTTCACAGCAATCACCATGCCAGAATCAGGCTTGGTAGCTGAAAGAGAATGCTCATCAATCCACCCTTTGAAAACTGATCCAAAACCACCTTCTCCCAGTACACTATCTGGTCTGAAGTTTCTAGTGGAAGTCCTCAGCTCACTGAAGCTAAAGTTCTTTAAATTCGGCGACTGTAAGATCTCACCCTCGCTCCGTGGAGTTTGGGGTATGGAAGCCGAAGAGACCTTGCTACTCACACTACTAAGATTCTTCCCATCTCTGCTGGCACTTTTTGAATTCAATCCTGCACAACACATAAATTAATGAAATCAAATTATTCGCAAAAAAACTCTAACGATGTTTTTCTCTTATCTAGAATGATAGATCGTTGTCAAATAAGTCCTCAAGAGAACAACTATGATATACCTTACTTTTTCACAAACCAAAACTCCAAGACTCAACACATCTTCAAAGACGGAAAAATAGTTACAAACTGATAGAAACCAAGGAAATTTATCAAATAATCAACTAAAGAAACACATGCAATGAGAATTTATCTTGAGAATTGCAAAAAGTAACCTTATAGCTAAAACTTTAAAGTTCCTGCCAACTGCCAAGAACCTAAAATGTTTTTGCAGAAGCCATATCAATAACAAACATCTACAATGACCATAAAGATGAAAGGACAAAAAGAACAGCTATAGACTCCATAGATGAAAAATTAAGCAGAAAGTGAGTGAAATCAACTCAGCTAATTGTGAAAACATACAAAATCTCAACACCCGCCAACCTAAAATAAGAAATGGATACCTACCTGTATTAGAAGGAGTATAAGCCTTGATTCGATTGCTAAGACAAAGTCCCATCGGATCAGACACCTGAGCTCCTCACTATAGCAACTCCAAAACCAAAAAATTAAAACCAAACAAAAACCCAGAGTAGATCTTGTTCCAAGAAATCCTTTTACTTAAAAATGGGAAGCAAATATTACCACAAAGAAAAAGAGGAAAAGAAAAAAAGAAAATCACTTTGAGCAACTTATTAGCTAATTTATATAGTTACAGAAACCATGGAAGATTTTTTTTCTTTTTCTTTTTCTTTTTCTTTTTGTGGGTTCTTTTTGCTTTTGGATTTGAGAGATGAGAAGATCGCAAGGAAGAAAGAAAAAAGAAGTCTTTGCCAATTAGGTCCTCTTTTCGAGTGGCCTTTTTGGACCTTCGCCAACCGTAGATGGTTGACTCGCTTTGCCCTTTTTTTTTTTTTTTCGTTTCCGCTCTTTCTTTCTTTCTTCCAACAACAAAACAAACAAACATCAACTAACGGATAAAATATTCCACAAGATGGGAATTAATATAGAGCGGAAATAACACAGGTTTTTTAAATAAGAATTTCAGCATTCTTTCTATCTTTTATGGATGGAACTATTGAGAATGCTTTTCCCTTAAAAATGGCACAAAAAAAATTTTATACTACTTATCCTTAATTTTTTCATTACGTATGAATACAAAAAATTCATATTTTAATTAATTATTTAAATTCAAGATTTTTTAGAGAAATTTATATTGAAGATTAGATTAATTGTAGTAGTATATTTATCCTATATATAAATGGGGAAATAAGAAGGGAGGGAATAACGAGATTTTCAATATTATCTTAATGAAATTTGGAATATCTTAGAATAGCTTTAGTTGTAGCCAATTTGAAAATTACATCTTATACTAATGAATATTTGGATGAGCGGTTTGACACTCTTTTTCCTTAAGTAAGGTTGAGAATTCAATTCTCATGAATGGAGTAAATACTCGCTGGAAACACTTTACTTATTACAGTTTATTATTTGATTGAATATAATTTCTAGATATTATTTTTTAAAATAAATATATATAGATAATAAAAAGAAAAAAAGTATACTATTCTTTATATATATAGTTAACATTTATTTTATGTAATCTTTTTTATTAATTAATTAACTTATTTATTTATTTTAAATTTACAACTCAGAAAAATATAAAAACAAAATTAGATCTAGCATTATTTAAAAAAAAGTATACTATTCTTTATATATTATATTAACATTTAGTTTATGTAATCTTTTTTATTAATTTAAATTAACTTTATTTATTTATTTTAAATTACAACTCAGAAAAATATAAAAAAAACCAAAAATTAGATCTAGTAGCATTTATTTGCTTTGTGTGATTTAATTTATTGACTTGGATATATATATATATATATATATATATATATATATATATATTTGTTCTATCAATATTCAAAATTTCATTAAATATAACATTCTAATTTAAAGAATGGACTGATTTTTTGAAATTCAAATTGGTAAATTTTAAACTATAAATTTGTTTTCTTATTATATATTGAGTTCCGAAAAAAAAATTCTATTTTTTAATATAATTTGTTTCTTATTATATATTGAGTTCCGAAAAAAAAAATTCTATTCTTAATAATAATTTTTTATTTTCTTTTTCATTACTGTTATTATATTCATTTCTTTTTCATTATTATAGTCATTTTTTATTTTATTATTCATTAATGATATTTTCTTAATATGTTTCTTTTTTATATATTTATTTCTTTAATGCACTAAGTAAGTAATACTGTTATTATAGTAAAAGTAATTACTATTAACAATTCAAATTACCGGCTCATTTTTTTCCAACAGTAAAAAATAATTTGTTATTATTTTTCATTATAATTGTATATAAATATTGATTTGAAGTTGAGGGCAGAAGGTCAAAGATTGAATGATGACTTAATTCTCTTTTTGGCCACTTATCAAGATTTTAAGAATATGCATTTATAAATTAGGAACCGAAAGATTAGTTCTAGGCTTTATTATAAAAAAAAAAAAAAGAATTAAGTACATATGAAATAAAGTAGCTTGCACGATAAAGTCCAATACAAATTAAACAATTGTATGAATTTTAATCTAAACAAAAACTTATGCTTTAATATTATGTGAAAAAGAATAAATATAGTTAATGTGCAAGACACGTTATAAAAAAGACTAATTTATTAATAAAAACCAGTCCTATTCTCACAATTCGTGTGCGAATGTTATATAATGTTTAAAAATAAAAATGTTCTTTTTATTATAATTAATAATTGTTTTGAAGAATCCAAATATCCAATATATTATACTTACTAATATACAAAAAAATAAAATTAAAATAATTTTTTTCCCAAATTCTTGCAAAATGATCAATATATTGACACATGCACACATAAATCAAAGTTTATAATTAAGCTTAAAATTTTCAATGTTTATAAATGTTGTAATACATTTAAAATAATATTTTTAAATACCAATTATTAAATTCATTTTGAATAAATAATTTAGAATTCGGGCATAAATCCAATAAATATTAAAAAATTTTAAAAAAATTCATCGAAGTTTGCCCTGATTTAGAATAGGTTGAGAAGTATTGTCATCTCCCTTTACAAAATAAAACATAAACATTAATTTTATCATTAAATATTTCTCTATTTTCCTAGATAATGAATTAGAAAATGAATTTTAATTTTAATTTCATAAAAAAAACACTGTGAAAAATAAATTCTATGATTTAGGTGGCATTGTGCTGAATAAAAATAAACACTTAGTTATAAAAATAATAAATAAAATCTTTTTATATGTATTAGATACTCTAATAGTTATGGAATAATTTATTACAAATCACAAAAATATATCTTAGTTGATAATTGGAAACTGAATACAATATGTAATTCCATCAACATCACCACATTGATCAAGCTCACCTCAATAAAATGCCATGAAAATACTCTTATGTTGTTTACAAAGAACTCATTTCTTTTTATTGAAAGTATGATTGATTTTTTTTAAGATTTCATTTATATTGAAATAGATGTCTATATAAATTCCGTAACAATGGAAAAAAGAAAATGAATAGAATAAATATTAATGATATTGTTAATTATTTTAGAAAAAAAGTGAAAAATTTTTAAAATACTAATGACATTATTAGTTTAATTAATTATTTAAAAGCTGAAAATATTATTAATGATACTAATTAAGTTCTCTATTAATTATATTTAAAATAATTTTTAAAAATATAAAAATTATTTTCAACTCAATAGATTAACATTTGCCATATAAATATTTTAATACTTTAGAATTGTGCCGCATAAGCTTTTGTGCCTTAATTTTTGTACAATTAAATAGACAGATATATATTAAATAATATTAAAATAGGAAATTGTAAAAGATTATTCTCTTCTATAATAAGAAATAAAATTATAATTTAAAATAATTGAAAAGAAAAAAAGAACTTTTTAAGGTTTGTACCACAGCCATCCTTAATCCATCTAACTAAAGGATTTGAGTTGTTTAAACTCAGACAACCCCATTAGTAAAAAGTGAATTATTTTAACATATGTAAAGTTCATGATTGAGTTGCTCAAGTAACATTCTAGAAGTTCATGATTAAGTCCCTCAAGTGACACTACAAGATATTCATTTGCCATGAGTGCAATATGTTTTTTTTTTTTTAATCTCTTTTTTTACAATTTAATTTCTGCTAATATGTATAAATTTTCACTCTGAAATAATAAAATAATTCATTATTTTACAACATATTTTATTTTCTCGTAACCATTTTGTTGCTTAATTTTTATGGAATCTGTTCTGCAACACATTCAGGTTGCTTTTTTCGCTATTAACCTATGGGTTTAACAGAGCTCTTGGATAATTCTTTCATGGCTTCCTTTGAAAATTTATTTAGGTACTGATTTATCGAGCTCCGTTTAGAATTTAACTGTTAACTGTTTGATTAACTTTTTAATCACGATAATTATTATTTTTTAATTTCTTTAAAAATAAACTGTTTTTTTGAACGGAAGAAGCAAGAAGGAAGGAAAATCAGAAATATGTTATTTCTTTATATAAATGTGAAGACAACACTTACAGATTATCTGGACAGTATGTATTTAGATATGCAAATACAAACACGTAATACTTATATTGTTATTTTATTGTTTGTCTTGTTTTAGTACAAAACACGTAATCTGATGTTAAACCATTTTGGATTTATCTATGTTTAATTTAATATTCAATGTCATGATTATATTCCTGCAGTCAATGATTAGTCACATATTATACAGTAATAATAATTATATATTATAATATGCTTTTAGGGATATTGTAGTATAATATGTAATCATTTCAGTCTACGCTGTGTTTGATTTCCTTGAAACAACTGAATGAATTATTAAACAAAAATTGCTTACTTCTCTCTTGTTTTTTTTTTTTTTTTTTTTTTTTTTTAAAACAACGTAAATTTCTGGATGTTTAAATAGGCTCATTTTGGATTTATCTATTGTTTAATATTTAATATTATCTGTCATAGTTAATTATATCCTGGCAGTCAATGATTACGTTCACATACTCTATCAACAAGTGGGATAATAAATTTATATTTATGATTACATAAATGACCTTTTACGGTCGAGGTATTGTAGTATAATATTGTATCATTTCAGTCTAACGCCTGTGTTTTTAGAATTTCTTGAAAGCAAACCAGAATGTAATTTATTAACAAATATAATTGCTTACTTTCTCCTCTTGAGTTATTATTTTTTGTTTTTTTTTTTTATTTTTATTCATTTTTTTAAATTAAAATTAAAAAATTCATTTAGAGCAATATATTTGTTGTTATACCTCGAGTAAATTCTAATAAGTAAATTCATTATCAGAAGAAATCAAAAAAACATCAATCTTTGGAATGGTTAAGTATCTTAATATGAGGTTGTAATAATACCAAAGCTTTGGTTATAATATATTTGTACTATATACGAACGATATAATCATGAGGATTAGCTTCACTATTTAATTATTTAATGGCCATATATTCGAAACTATATAGTCCCTTCCTATAAGTCTGGATTTGATTATCTGGTACAATTATTTCCTTCTTGTTAGACCCGAGAAACGATCACCTGTATTGCTTTACTTTTTTTTTTTTTTTTTTTTTTTTTTCCTTTTTTTTAAATTAAATTAAAAATTTCATTAGAGCAATATATTTTTGTTATATAAATTCTAATAGTAAATTATTACAAAGAATAAAAAAAATCAATCTTGAATTTTAAGTATCTAATTGAGTTGATATAGTATAATATTTGTACTATAGACGATATATTGCTTCACTTATTAATTATTTATGGCCATTATTCGACTATATAGTCTTCTATAAGTCTGATTTGATTATCTGTAAATTATTTCCTTCTGTTAGAGAGAACATATGTACTTCTTTACTTTTTTCTGCATAATTATCCAAATAACAAGATATTTTAAATAAAATTATCATAATGATAACAACAATAACTCAAAATTGTATTAAATGATACAAATATGGTGATTATTTTAAAAAAAATATAAACAAAAAAGGAAAAGGAGTGATCAAGCTCATCGGTGGCTATCCGTGAAAAAAAAGAGCTTTTTAGGTTGTGAAATTAATTTTTAATTAAAAAACTAAATGCTAAAATTGCTACTAAATAAAGAATTAATTCTTTAAAAAAAGAATTAATTATTGTTCTTTCCAAAATGAAAAGTAATTAAATTAATATTTTTATGTGTTTGTATGAAATTCAGCCATAGTAAAGGAACGTTTTTTTAGTGAAAATTCTGTTAATTTGTTCTTTGCATTTTTATATGTTACTTTCAAATTTAAAAAATATTTTTAATGACTCCTATCTGTTTCATTGCATTTGCATTTGATATTGTTGAATTTAATGTAATTATTTTATTATTTATTTTCTTTTAAGTTTTAATGTACCAATTATCAAACACTCCAACCTAACTAATGTCTAACACCTTCTCTTTATTCCATGATTGCGCTCGAAGAAATACAAAATTGAGATTAAAAGCTTGCCTAGTATAAATAAATGAAAGAAAAAAGAATTATTTACAATTCCACTGGAGATTCTAGCATAGATGCATAATACAACATGCAGGATACAAAACAGAAACTGCACATTGCTCCAATAAACACATTCTTCTACATGTAGGTTGTCTCTTTCTAATTTGATTCTTGAAGCCTTTCTAATATCATTACCACATCGTCCATGTCCGGTCTGAACTTCGGTTCACTATTTAAGCAATGAAGTGCAAGGTTAACCAACTTTTGGGCTGTTCTAAGGAAGTGCTGGCCATCAAGACGAGGATCCAAAAAGCTTAAAAATCTACGTTTGTTTGTTAGGTAAAGCTTTGCCCACTCCACTAGATTCTCTTGCCCAGGTGGCCGGTTATTGTCCATAGCTCGTCGGCCAGATACCATTTCCAGAAGTACAACACCAAAGCTGTATACATCGCTCTTTACACTCAAGTGGCCTGTTCAATATCAACATTCGATTAGTCAATCATAATCCACAATAAAGTAACCCAGTAGATTGGGTTAACAACAACCAAACTATTATGGAGATAACATTTTGAACTCTCTCTAATGAGACTTACAGATTGAGTAATAGAAATATATTATTAAATGTTGGTTTTCCTTAACAAGCGAGAGCGGTGGCAATTTTGCTAATGTGGTGAGAGTTACAAGATAGGGAGGACTATCCTTTGCACTATAAGTATAACCTACAAATGTTTAGACCAATTTCGACCTCCCAACCTTGCAAATATTTCAATTGTAAAAAGAATCAACGATATGGCAGTTTTTACTCACAATTTCTCTCTATCAATGGTAGCTTCCACTCACTCTCATTCTCCCCAATACCCCTCCCTAGACACAATTTCATGCGATATTTGCAAGGATTAGGGATCTGTTTAGTACTTCTAATGATCAAACAAGTGAAGACTAAATTGCTTAAACATAGCCCTTGGAGTGCATAAAGAAAATGATAACAATAAAAACATTCAATCAAAACAGTTTAGAGCTACAAGAAACATGTAAAAATGGTACCTGTCACTACATACTCTGGTGCAAGATGCCATCCGGAAGTCCCCCTAACCGCAGTAGAGACATGACTCTTATCATCAGTTGGCCCGCCTCTGACTAAACCAAAATCAGAAAGCTTTGGATTGTAGTTCTGGAAAAAATGGAGCAAAACGGAGCAGGGCAGGTTAACAAATACGGATATACTAAAAAATATACTCAATTAATTGTTACTTCCAAATTAAGATAAATTTGAAAGAAGTGATTAAGTAATGTTAGATAAGTTGCATACCGAATCAAGTAATACATCAGAAGTATTAAAGTTCCGATATATGACATTCACATCAACACTATGAAGAAATGCAAGCCCCTTTGCAGCGCCAAGGGCAACCTTCATGCGAATGTCCCAGGAAAGTGGCTCAAACCCTCCTGTTTTTGATCAAAAAGTGCACGCACATGAAGGTGCATGCACACACACAAACACATATATGACAATTATATAATTGGTATTTAAATTGTTCCAGTTTTTCTACTTTAGTGTTTAAATTTTATTTTTAACAATTAACTGTTTGAAGGGACAAATTTTTCTGATGAAGTGCATTTTGGCTGGATTATTTTGCCGAATAATTAAAATAGATAACTTTATTCAATGAATAATAGCAAACACGAACATTAATCCAATTCATCTCTTTTTTTATTCATTTATTTTTTAGTTTTTATCATATTTCTTCATAACTTTTTCCATTCAAAAAACTCAAAAAAAAAAAAAAAAAAAAAAATTAACTTAATTAAACTGTTTGAGGGACAAATTTTTTTTCTGATGAATGTGCAATTTTGGCTGGATTATTTTTGCGAATAATTAAATAGATAAATTTATTCAATGAATAATAGCAAACATCGAACATTAATCCAAATTCATCTCTTTTTTTATTCATTTATTTTTTTGTTTTTAATCATATTATCCTTTTCATAACATTTTTCCAAGTTCAAAAACCTCAAAAAAAAAAAAAAAAAAAAAAGAGAAAAAAAAATAACCTAACAATCTAGATAAACAAATAAAGTAAAGAATTGGGTAAAATAGTTTCATTTAAATATTCCAGCAAGGAATTCCGGAGCAAATAAAAAATAAAGTTTGAGAAATTTAAATAGAAAACATTACAAAAATTTCGAGAACATTAATTTATAACATTATATATATAACTATATATATACTACTATATATATATATATTATTTATATATATATGTAGAGGGCACATAGCCGAAAGCAGCACTTGAGGTTAAATACCAAATAACATGGAACTCACTCCTAAATAAAAATGATTGTTCAGGCTGCCAACGAACATAACTCATAAATCCAAAGCCGATGTTTCATCCTCAAAAGGCATATATATATATGTAGAGGCAAAGCCGAAAGCAGCACTTGAGTTAATACAAATAACATGGAACTCACTCCTAAATAAATGATTGTTCAGGCTGCCACGAGACATAAACTCATAAACCAAAAGCCGATGGTCATCCTCACAGCAGTAACCAATCAACTTAACAAGATTAGGATGCCGCAATTTTCCTAGATATATGACCTCTGTCTGTATGTCCAAATAACAACAAAAAATCAGCTATTTAGCTCATTTCAATCTTTTAAACACTCTGAAAAGGAATCTAAAATGTAATCATTTCATTAATATTAAATATTATAAACTTCTTGGACATCCTAAATTCTGAATGTCTGTTTCCATGGATTAAGCACTCATATCAGTGTAAACATAATAATGCTTTTAAAGTACACAAGAAGAATTGGATTCACATTTCATATATATCTTGCATTCCCAAGCTTCTCCTTATTGAGAGAAAATTATGCAAACTCCCTCTAATTAAGGACCTCAACCAAATAAAATAGGTCCCTAAATTGAAAAGTCAAAAAATTGATCATCAATAAATGGCAAAAACAATTAAGAATCGAAATCATATAACTGACCAGCCATTCCTTGTGACCCCGAGCACTTTCTTGCTCAAGCCTCTTCACAGCAATCGCCACTCCAGAACTGGACTTGATAGGTGTAAGCAAATGCTCATCAATCCACCCTTTGAAAACTTTCCCAAAGGCACCTTGTCCAATAACACTATCCTGTCGGAAGTTTCTGGTGGCAATCTTGAGCTCATTGAAATCAAACTTCTTTAAATCCCGCGACTGCAATATCTCACCCTCACTCGAAGTACTAGGATTTTTCCCATTTCTGCTGACACTTCTTGAATTCACTCCTACAGTGGCAGAACCAGAATAAAAGTGGGGTGGGAAGGGGGGTGAAGATCTTGTATTCTTTTCCTCATTGATAATTAAACCAGGAAAAACTTAAAATGGACACACCAAAACTAAACCCAACAAGCAGGATGTAATTCCCATCCTAGTTGTGGCATGTGAAGTGAAAAAACTTGGTAAGAGTTGCAAGACAAAACTACATAACAAAAAGAGGGGAACAGCCATCGGTGTTAACAAAAGAATTTGTAAATGGACACTCAACATAGCAAGAGTACAAATCAAAAAAAGCTACTCAATTGAGAATACAAGCTAGTAAGACGATATTTCAAACGAATTCTTTAATTAACCCAAACATGAAAACTCATTTTACAAATAAATGTTTTCACTGAAATTCACTCGCAAATGAGATGAATTCCACATGGATTTAATCCAAATATTATGTTAATGTTTTTTGTTACAATTCTAGAATGACTGTAGCCCTTGCATATCAATGATGTGAAATGAATCATTATTTGCAGGAGGAAGAATTGGGGAAGGAATAGTACAATATCATAAATAAAATTTCTCTTGTGCCACCACCGCTGAATGGAATATTCACCCCATCAAGTATATCAACGATAAGCGCCTTCACCGATAGAATTGATTTTACAAGATGAGTGTTATTTATCCCTAAAAATTTGCGTTGCTTTAGTTGTGCAATACCTACTTAATAAGAAATATCATTCTATTCAATAATAGTTCATACATTGGATATTCAGTTTTTAACTCTTGCTCGGCAACTGAAAAGAATTCTTAGAGAGAGAAATTGAGGACACAAAGATATTAAGCATGCAAAAGATGAGGAAAAGAGAATTCTAGAGAGACAATCTGATTGCATATTATGGATGAATACCTGTTCACCATCTTATATAGCTGCTATTTTACTATCAATTAGTTATAACCACCACCTGAGTTATCATATTAACAATATTTGGACAGGCTGACTGGGCTAGGGGTAATGGCCCCTGCCAGCCCTCTCATGCCGCCGATGCCTACATGATAAATACATTAATGAAATAAAAATTATTCGCTGAAAAACTCAAAAATATTATTCTTTATCATGCCCAATTACTAATCCTTATCCTGGAATGATAAATTGCTGTCAAATTAGTCCTTAAAAGCACAATATCAATATGATATACTCAAAGAATCTCAAACACAAAACTCTAAAACATCCCTAGAGGCCAACAAATTATTAAAACTACAGATTGAATCCAATGGAAGTTATCAAATAACCAACGAAAGAAATACATTCCATAAAAATTTTATCTTGAAATTTGCACCAAGTGAAAGTGTCTGAAAAATTTACATTTCCTGTCAAGAACTGGAAAGCCTTAAATATATTCATGAAAGCCGCAGTGACAGCAAACATTTAGAGTGACTAGTAACAGCTCAAGCATCCATATAGTAAGAATTAAGAAGGTGACTGATTTCAATCTCAATCAAGCAAAAACCAATAACAGCTAATTGTGAAAAAACACGATCATAAGTACATACCAACATAAAAGAAGAACTGGGTACCTGTATTAGGAGTATATGCACTGATTCCGCTGCTAACGGAAAGTCCCATCCGAACAGACACCTCACTTCCTCTCTAGCAATTTCGAAAAAAAAAAAAAATCAAACAAAGAAAGGAGCGACCTAGTTCCAAGAAATTCTTTTTCTTGCTTAAAAATTGGAAGAAAATATTACAAGAAGAAAAAGAAAGAAAAAAAAAAAAGAATCACTTTGAGCAATTCATTGGAGGTGAATTTGTTGTTTCACGGTGACAACTGACAACTTTGTCGCCCGAGGTCAACAAGAAAGGGGCGGGCCGGGTGGCAAAATTGCAATTCATTTTTTTAAGGGAAAAATATGATTTTATTCCGATGCTTTGATATAATTCACTACCGTGTACCGTGGCCAACAGTGAAAATAAATTGTTTCCGGTGTTTTAAAGAGTACGTGATAAGATGATGTTTTTCATTATTATTTTTATTTGTATTAGATACTGTGAATATTTTCATAAGCAGCCTTTGATTTTGAGATTAAAAATAATTTGGTCAAATTATTTTTAAATTAGTTAAAATTTAAGAGAATTAATTGTTTCCTTAATACTTTTACAAAAACCTTAAATATAAAACTTATTGATTGTTTTGTATCCCAAGGCTTGAATCTTGGTAAAACATAATTAATATTTTTTTCTTTTAATATTTTTAAACTTACAATAACTAGAAACATAAAATCACATACTTACAAAATAATTATTTTATAATTCAAAATTAGTTATTTACTTATTTGTTTATTTAATCAAACAATATAAAAAATAAATTAATAATTGTTTTATAATTCAAAATTAGTTATTTACTTATTTGTTTATTTAATCAAACAATATAAAAAATAAATTAATAATTGTTTTATAATTCAAAATTAGTTATTTACTTATATTTACTTATTTGTTTATTTAATCAAACAATATAAAAATAAATTAAATAATTTTTGTTTTTATAATTCAAGAATTAGTTATTTACTTATTTGTTTATTTAATAAAAATAAAATAAATTCCTAAAAATTGTAATTAAAAATATACATTAATTATAGAAATATCCAAAATCAAAAATAAGTTTATAAGTGTGATGATTATAAATTTATGTATAGATACTTTCTATTTACTTGTTTGCCTATACAAATAAAAATTGACCATAATCTGTTTATTCTAAATAAAGTCAATGTTCCTATTAATTAATATTTGATATTTTCTTTATTTTTGTTATTATTGTTTTGATTAATCATATATTGAATTCAAGACTTTTTTTTAACTCATCAGTAAGTATTTAATTTAAGAGCAAATTACAACAAGTCTCATCTAAATCCAATGATTCTAACTTTAACTATAGTCAAGCCCAATATTATTTACTTATTTGTTTATTTAATCAAACAATATAAAAAATAAATTAATAATTGTTTTATAATTCAAAATTAGTTATTTACTTATTTGTTTATTTAATAAAAAATACAAAAATAAATTCTAAAAATTGTATTAATATAATTATTTATAGAAATACCAAAATCAAAATAAGTTTAAAGTGTGATGATTAATAAATTTATGTATAGATACTTTCTATTTATTGTTGCTATAAAAATAAAAATTGACACATAATCTGTTATTTAAATAAGTCAATGTCTATTATTAATATTTGAATTTCTTTATTTTGTTATTATTGTTTAGATTAATCATATATTGATCAAACTTTTTATTACTCATCAGTAGTATTTAATTTAAGACAAATTAAAAGTCTCATTTAATTCAATGATTTAACCTTTAACTATAGTAAGCCCAATTTGTAAAAAATTTATTGGAGTTTATTTTCTTCATAAAACAATTGTCATGATTCATTTAGAAAATTTTAAGTTTTATTTCCTTAGAAATGCATTTAAAAATAACTTATAGTTAAAAGATTAAAGCATGTTATTTATTTTTTTATGATCGTAGTTTCATCTCTCATTGAATATATCTTCGCCTCCCTTTTAAGTTTAAATCCTGGTTCTGCCATTGTCTTTATATTTCAAAAATTATATTATTTTATTTTTTTAGTTTGTCTTTGCTAAATAAAATTATCTTTCCATCGATTATTTGAGATTTGAGCTATGAAACTCGCCACTTGATCCCGGAGGATTTAGAAGACGGACGCTACATTTGATGCCGAAGACACCATTCTAACTAACAGATCAAACCTAAAACTAATATATGAATTAAAAGTGATTAATAATTCATAAGTCTAGTAAATCCTAAATTTTAACTTAGAAAATTATTTTGAGAAATTCTATAGAAAAACTGTAAGAGTTTTCCCCTAAATACTGGACTTAACTAAAACTTGTGAATACAAAACACTTCTAATTTAAAACTTCAATCATTTAATCACTCAAGCATATGCAGGTTTATTCTTAGACTAGAACCAACCCAATGGCCCAAAAAGCATTTTGGTATTCTAAAACTCGCATTCTTATGTGCTTCACATCCACCCCCGACTCACGTGAGGTTTGCCCCACCACTAGCGAGAGGGATAAGAGTTGGCTATCAGCTAGGCTGTGGTAATATAATATAATAATATAATATGGATAAATGGACCTGTTCAGTTATAACCCCTTTATAGAAAAGCCAAGAATTACATAATATTTAAAATCTATTAAGTCGATTATTTAAATATATGAATATTTGAAAGTCAAAATACTACAATATTAAATAGGTTGGATAATCTGATTTGAAATATAAATTTAATTAATTTATCTTTTAACTTTTCTTCCTATTAATATTTATGATAATAAGAAGTTACAAAACTAAAATAAACGAATTATATAACGATTATTAATAATTTAATAGAACAATTTTCATATTTTTGTATGCATGTCAATGACAAATGAAATCTCTAAACTTATATTGATTTACAATCTTTCAATTTTGTATTTATATTTAAAATATTTCTTTATGCCAATAAGTAAAATAAAAATAATAAAAATATTTATCTAGCTTGATTTTTTTTTTTTGTTTCGCGCCTAACGTGTAAATATTATTTCAAATATTACTATATTTGGTTGATAATAATATATCTTATTATTTAGCTCATATTTGTCTCTAATTTTGCCTTCAAAAATTATTATCACTACAAAAATTGTTCAATCCTGCAAGTAGCTTTTTTCTCAGTATTAGATTTTTTTCATGACTCTCTCTCTCTCTCTCTCTCTCTCTCTCATGAGAATTATTTTTCCACATATCCAACCTCTGCACTTGCAATTGCAAAGGCTGTTTTTATTTTTTTAAAAAAATAAGAAACAAAAATATAAAATGATAAAAATATGTTCTTAATTATCCATCTTTCATCGCTTTTCGTAGGACAGAAACTATACAAAAAATCTCAAAAAAAGAAAAGATAAATTCAAAGAATTTTGAGAGCTATTTGCTAATTTCTCCAATTTACAGTAAACAATTTGGAAAACAGTAGTACAAGTGTATCTAACTAATAATGCACATGTATGTTAGGCAATAAAACGAGAAGTCCATTAAGAAATCAATGAAACTTAGTCACTGTCATCATCCGAACTAGAACTAGAGTCATTCTTTTTTGGTTCTTGAACTTTTATCGAAGAGCGGCGGGAAGAGTTGTTAGCTGATGATGCAGTAGATGACTCTTTTTTCAATGTTTTTTCTAACGCTTTCTGAGCATCTGCAACCTGTTTACATACCTTATCTAGAATAACCAAAAAGTCTCGCACTATTACAAACAACCGTAACCCTTCATCTTTCGCTGCACTTCCATGGAAGTAATCACAGGTGGTTTTCACTAAAGCCATAATTTTCTTCTCTTCTGCTAATAATGACATTATATCCACCTCTGCATTTTTCACAAAATTTTTCAATGTTTCATGGAATTGACTCTCTTCCTCTAAACTCTTCAAGTCCTTTGTTACTAAATCTTGGGCTTTTAATAATGAATACCCAAGTCTGGCAACAGTTCCTGTTAAGCTATCAGCATCTACAACTGCTGCTTTTTTAACATGTTCTAGTTCATTGCTTAGGTTAGAAACTACTCGAAGACCAATGCTGCGATAATCATCGTCTGTATCAGGAGAAATATCCTCAAGGAGATCTTCACTTGATATACTCAAGTTGGAAAATGTTCGGCTCTCTCTCGCTACACGGACAGCTCTCACTCCTTCGTAACGGATTATTTCCTGTACGACAAAGTGTAACAGTGTCGTTTTACCATCTACTCCTTTCACATCAGATAATTTCAAAAGTGTGTCGAGTTTGAATGCTTGTGCACCCCCACGAAATGTTCCATCATTCATGCGATTCCCAGTTTTTAGAACAGCTTCTAGAAGCTTGAGGAACAATCGACTGCTTTTTAGTTCATTACAAGCCACCTGCAATTCCAAATTTTCTTTTCAGGGTTATGATAAAATTTGTCTTTCTTGATGAAAATTGAAACCATCTAACACAAAAATCATATATACCTCTAAAGTTTGAAAGGACTCCTTAGTTGTGGTGACGTCTTCCTGCATAGTGCACATGAAAAGCAGTGCTTCAAGTCGTTTATAAGCAAATGGAATGTCAACCAGTACTTTCAGGAACCGTTCGGCAGAGCCGAGTTGAGAAAGTTCACCAGTAAATAGCCTAAGCTTCAACTCTTCATCTGCTGTAGGTGCCATCTTCAACAAAGTTTGAAGGAGCTCTATAGGAAGTTCATTTCCTGATTTTTAATTATGACAGATTAGACTACGCCTAAAAGGCTGACTTAGAAGCATCCCGCCTTTTGCAAGCTTTGGGAAGGTTCAATACAAAAATTTAAAACTCATTTTGTGCAAGTAAAAGTTGAGATGAAGCAAAAGGAATCACCTTCACGAAGTGCATCAGAGACCTCTTCTATAGTAACATTCAGTGCTCGCAGAAGAATAGATAAATTTTGCGACTTTTTGCCGTCGATGATTTGGATATGTTGGATCGTATCTTTGGACGAAGAATCTTTCCTTTTATCAAGTCTTTTGTCTGGAGCTGAATACCCGAACAACGATTCTATCATCTCCTCATTGAACCTATAATTTTAATTCAATAATTGTTAATTAATAGTTTGTGTATAACCCCAACAAAAAAAAAACTACCACAAGAAGAAAATTTTAATTTGAGACGTACTGAAACGATCCTGCTTTAATTTGACTCCAAACCATTGCGTTATCAGTATTGGCATTAACTTTATCCCAGAAAAAAGGCTTCAATTTGGCTTGATTAGTGGCATAACTCTCAGCGCCCTCTGCTTGGCTAGATTTAGATGGAGGCTTTGGTCCCATAGGAGCACGAGGAGCCTTTGGACCCCCTCCAGGCAATGGCGGCGGTGGTCGAGGGCCTGCACCACCTTTTCCAGGTGGAGGTGGTGGTGGAGCAGGACCAGGTTTGGAACCACTAGCCATAGGAGGTGGTCCTGGAGGAGGTGGGGGTCCAGGAGTAGGTGGTCCAGGAGGAGGTGGTCCAGGTGGCCGAGGAGCCACATTACCAGAAGCTTTTCCAGGAGGAGGAGGAGGTGGTGGTGCTTTAGGAGGAGGGGGACCAGCGTTTGTGGGAGGAGGAGGAGGTTGTGGGTTAACAGAAGGAGGCGGTAGAGGAGGAGGAGGCTTCAAAGAAGGCATTGTATTCATCTTTCCAGGAGGAGGAGGTAACAGTACTCCAGTATCATTGCTAGATTTTTCATTCGGTTCAACAGAGACTTTATCAGTTTCAACAGCAGTTCCATAGGATACAATTTCTTGCATTGGTGAATGGACAATACTAGTTGTGATGCTTTGCAATGTTGAACCTTTCTTATCAAATCTTTTCTTTATTTCCCTTGTTGGGCCACTCGGCTTCTCAGCTTCCTTAATAGAATTTCCTATACTATAAGATTTATAAGAAGAACCTAAAAGATCCAATTTGGAAACAATATTAGAACTGTATCAAACAAAAAGTAGACTGACATAACAACATTTGAAGGAGTACGTACCAGAACTACAATAATCTCTCAAGCTCGCACTAATTTCGGGACTTTCATCAGCGTTTCCAGACCTCTTTCTAAAAAACTTGAACCAAATGAAAAATATCGCCCCTGCAAAGACAAATGTCAATGTAGCAGTCGAAACTACTGCGATAAGAATTATTTTCTTGTGACTTTCCTCCATTTCTTCATATTCAGATTCTTCTTCTAAAATTAGACGCGGTGATCTATCACCTCCTTTCTTTCGCAGAGAATCTTGTTGAGTAGAAATTTGAGGACTTGAAGGAGTAGCCAAATGAGGAGGTGGTGAATGTACATTGGGTTGAAGCAAATTCCTTTTTGGAATAGCAGGTTTAAAGATAAAGGAATCATGATGCTTGGTATGTTGAATATTAGAGTGGCCTTTTCCAGAAACTTGGAACAAAATACTATTCTTTCTGATACAATCTACAAGATTTTGCTTCAATTTGGGATGTTGGACTTTAATAATTATACTCCAGATTTGTTCTCTTACTATTGACATAGCCTGTGAATCACTTTTTCCAGCCATAGGAAAACAGAAGTTGACATCTTCATTAGCTTCCTTCAAACAAATCAAATCTAGCCTGCAAGTGATCCATAATAGCTCTGCCTGTAATTAAATAATTTCACCAAGCCATTAGTCCAATTTAAACTTTAAACAGATATAGAATAATCTTAAATTGACACCTGCAGTTTGCTCAATTAAATTTATCTGGAAGCATATGCAATAATAAAATTATTTCAAACTTTATATGTGTTTGATGATACTGCGATTTGTATATATATCGAGCGTTAAATAAAAGCAAAAAAAAAGAATAATGGGTGATATCTTACCATGCCTTTATCAACCTCTCCAGTCACTGGACTGACTAATCGGCTGAGATACATTTCCTCTGTGTTCTTCCTGTCTTCCAAGCTTCCCACCATAGATGCACAAAGCAGAATCACCAGGAACATGAAATAATTTCACTATTGCTGGAATGGAAGTATCAATTTTGGGCTACAGCTTTCAGAAGTACCCCTTTGCCTGCAATAGCTATTTTGAGCTCCTTCCATCCCTTCTGCTTAATTTGTTTTGAGGGAAAAATAGCATTTCCCTTCAAAATGCATGGAGATGAAAGAAAACATAACTTCTCAACTTAAATCTTTTGAATTCGCACATATAACACTAACTAACAAAACTGGAGTTTTATCCTTGTGGATGGAGAAAACTGACACCTATGATTTAAAACCAAAAATAAAATAAAATAAACAGGAGATTTTTGCAAACAATGAAAGAAAAATTCATCAAATTCAAAGTCAAATTCATTTCAATTCTTTTCTTTTTCCTTTCCTTTTCATAAATTTTCAAACTAAGCAATCAAATTTCTTATTTTTTGATATTTTTTCTATATCTAAACTAAACATCTTGTGGATGAAAGTGATTGCTTGAAAGTTATTGGTGGGCTTAGAAAAAGAGAGTGGAGAAGAGGTCTTAGATTGTTTCTGTGGTCGTAGACATTTTTGTCTATATTGTCTAGTTTTAATTTCGTACCTTACGACTATGTGTCCTGCAAACCAAATAAAATGGAACATAAAATTAGTATCAACTCAATTAGACACCCAAATAGTTTGGTTGGAGGATATTTCCCAATGATCATTCCTTCGATTTATATATATATAGCATCTAGAAATGTTCCTAAAATGTTGGAATGTTGTTTACTGCCTAGATTTTTATGGAGAAGATAAGTTTCTTTTAAATGTGCCAAATTTAAGAGCGCAGCCTTAACTTAGCTACACACTATGAGGAGGTTGAATTGTATACCATTTTTGGATACACTCTTTTCCTTCTTTCTACTTGATAAAATGCAAATTCCACTTGATAAAAATTTAGAGTTAAATTAATTTATGCTCATATTGTTAGGTATGACTATAGTTTCACAATCGTCGTTGTTTTTAATCTTGAAAGTAATTTTAAAACTTTCAATTCCATTTTCTTTTTGATTTAAAATTAAAATCAAACAACATTATTTTGTAATATAAATAAAAATAATAAGCATTTATGAAAAAGGATAAAAAGTTTAATAAAAAAAACCTTCAATTTATAATGACAATAATTTATTACTTTATATTATCATACAAAAGGGTTGTACCTTAGATGGTAGAGCTTTCACAGGCACAGGCACGGGTATTGATACCTTGCATCTCTAGTTTTCAATTATAAATAGTTTTGTTTTGTATTGGTTATTTACCAGAATTTTATTTCCTTTAATATGTATTTCAAGTGAAAAAAACATGGAATGGGATGTAGCTCAGATGGTAGAGCGCTCGCTTAGTACGCGAGAGGTACGAGGATCGATTCCCTGAATTTCCAGTTTTTAAAAATAATTTATCATTTTTTTTGTTTAGGTACAGAAAAGCTCGCACATTGCACGAATTGGAGTAATAATTATTATTATTAAACAATAAATTATATTGGTAATTACAATTCTACTCCTTTTTTGTTTAGGTACAGAAAAGCTCGCACATTGCACGAATTGGAGTAATAATTATTATTATTAAACAATAAATTATATTGGTAATTACAATTCTACTCCTTTTTTGTTTAGGTACAGAAAAGCTCGCACGTTTAGGTAGCAGACAAAGCTCGCAACATTGCAACGAATTGGAGTAATAATTATTATTATTAAACAATAAACTTATATTCGGTAATTACAATTCTACTCCTTTTTCTGTTTAGGTACAGAAAAAGCTCCGCACATTGCAGCGGAATTGATTTTTTGTTTAGGTACAGAAAAGCTCGCACATTGCACGAATTGGAGTAATAATTATTATTATTAAACAATAAATTATATTGGTAATTACAATTCTACTCCTATAATTTGAGATTATTTTTATAAATCCGGATAAGCGCTTATTAGTTTTATTAGCCCTTGTTCATTTCTTCTAGTTAAGATTTGATAGTCGTTGTCTTTTTAAGATTTTCTAGATATTTACAGATTAGTCTTGTTTCTTTTTTGATAAACTTAGTTTTTTCAAGGAATAAACCAAGATCCACATACGTGATGTTTGTATGTTCGAGGCATTATGATGTTTGTATGTTTGATGCGTTATCCATGGGTGAGGTCTATCTTCAAGATCTTTCATTACTTCTCTCTTTAGATCAATATAGCTTGTGAATATTGATTTGGTTATTAAATCATTCATCTACTTATTAAACCTGAGACAAAACACAACAAAATAAAAGAATTAAAAATTTTTTAAAAATCAGAAAAAAAACTTTAGTTTGGCATATGTTCATGAAATTTTTTAGCTTTAATATGTTAATTTAACGATAAACAAAACAAAAATCAAATTAAGTTAAACCATAGAAAATAAGCCAAAAACTGAAATTGAGAACAAAACTTTTTTTTCTCTTTAATTAGCAATAAGGGGTGAGAAATTTAAATTAAATAATAAAATATAGTCATAGAAAACTTAAAAATAAAGAGATGAGAAGCATATAAATTATGTTTTACTAATTCATAGACAAATTCAAGTGCAGCCATATATATGGGAATAAGCTAAAACATACCTTTATGAGTTAGTAAAATCAAAGCAATTTCTTAAGGAGCTTCAAATGAGAAGTGGGGTTTCATATTCAAATACAATATGTGACTTAGAAAGGCAATAATACAAGTTGTTTGGTTGCCTAGAAAATAGAATTTAGTTTTTCCTGACGAAAATCGCCTATTTAATGAAAATGCTTCATTTTATTGCCACTGTATTCCACCTTTTCTCTTGAAATAACTCTATTTAACTCTCAAACCACATCATAAATTTTTAAAACCACGCCATAATCAATAATATACATAAGAATGCTAGTGAATATGACACATTTCCAGCAATATTTTTTCAGTTTAGAAAAAAATCATAACTGTTTGAACATTTTTCTTGTTCATTAGAATCTATACACAAATGCCAAAGCTTTATATATAATATATTATGTAATGTAATATCGAATCAAATAATATTATTCAATTCCTTTTCAAAAAACAAAATAATATAATTCAATAACCATTTTCAAAGTCAATTTGAGATTACCAATATACATATTTCCATGAAAATATAAATATACGTTATAAATCAAAATATAATAAAAATATAAACATTCAATTAGATAAAAAATGATAGTGATAAGCATAACAATAGTAGCAGTAAAACGGGAGATCATAAAGAGAGATACTTCAAGGAAAAAGAGAGTCTATCGATATAGAGAAGAAAAAGATCAGGTAGATTTCTGCATCTAAAGATAATCTCTTAATTGTAAAATTGAATACATTGTTTTGTTGTAGATAAATGTGTAAAGATGATTTTATAATTATTTAATATTAATATCCAATCAAATTATAGTAAAATGAGGTAAAATTTGAAAGAAAATTCTAAATTTTGTGAAAAAAGATAAATAGGAATGCTGGATGTAGAGTGTATCTTGAACTTATTTTTTGCTTCAGATTAAATATATACTAGTCGTTATTTTGCGCTTCCCAGGCGGTATGTATATATGCAAACTTTTAAAAAAAAATTTTAAAAAATAGGAACGAGAAATAATAAATTAGTGCAATGCATTTACTGAAAAATAAAAAGTAAGCAATTAAATTAATAATAGAACAAGCTGAGAATAAAAGCAATAGAAAAAAATAATAATAACACGTCTATAATATTATCATCTATATAAATATAATCCAACCGTGAAATACAAAAAAATAAAGAAAAAATTCGAATAAAATATTAAAATAACCCAAAAATTAGTTTTCATAGATTTCTTATTTAAACATTAAATTTTAAAATCAACCAATGAGATTGTGCAATAAAATATTTAAAATCAACCAATGAGATTGTGCAATAAAATATTTTATTATTGCTGATGCCAATCCGAAAACCAAATTTAAGTTGTCAAACTCAATTAAAAAACCTGTAAATCAGTTGAAAACCAAATTAAACTATTAAGTTGGACCATTTCGGTTGAAATCGAGCAGGACTACCCTAGGATGTGCTAGAAACTTTCTTTTTCTCTTCTCTTCTTTTTCTTTCTTCTTTCCTGGTCAAGCGACAGACTCGTCGCCGCCCTCCTTCTCTCTCTTTCTCTTGTTTTTACCGATCACCAGAGATAAGTTCGACGAAGTTTCTTTGTGCCGCCTCCTCTTCGTCGTCGCGCCATCGATATCTCTCTGTCTCCTTCTCCGATGAATGCAGCAGGCGGACGAGCTACAATCTCTCCTTAGCGATTGACGCAGCAGCGCCTCTACTTGTTTTCGACGATCTCGACACAACCGGTCCACTCATATATAGATATATAGATTAGTTTTAGGGAAAAATAAAAATAAATCTCTAAATTTTAGTCAAAATAACACGTGACTCCTACGGTTGAGACACTAACTTAAACATCCTAAATTAATATTCTGTTATATAAGTACCTCGTGCCGTCAAAAATAATCAAAATTACCGTTAAGTTTTATACTAAATTGAGGTGAGAGGAGAGATATACATATGTAAAAGACAAAAATTCCCTTGTTGATAACTTATGAATTGAGCTGAGAACTTAAGATAAAAGGACATTCCATGAAACTGAATCCTAATTGGTCATTCTCTAAAACACTTGGGCACCATCTTGCACACGTCCGCTTTCATGTACATCATACTCGGTCCATTGCCAACTGAGTTCTAAGATTCCAGCCCATACTTGCAAATACCAGATGAATACTTCGACCAAAGCGCAACACCCATATTTGTAGCAGCACTAACAATACTGCCAAGGCTAAATTGATTAGATTTAACTCTTGCACATCTCATGATTGCATCAGATGAAGTAACTTAGCCAAGGCAAACTCATTGGTCATTATATTTTCATTTCTCATTTCACAGAGAAGACTAGTGCCATCAATTCCATACCTTTCACTCACACATCCTGCAATTAGAGTAGAGCATGCCACAACCTCTTGTTCAGACATATTATCAAACACCTAACGTGCATACACAAAGCTCCCAGATTTTACATAAAAACTAATTAAAGAGACCAATAAATGGCAATCTGGCTTTAAACCACTTAAAATCATATTACCATGAATTGCCTTCCTCAATAAATGTCCACTTTATTTTTGAAGTGCACTCACGTAGCAATGGGAGCAGCAAACAAAATACAAAGTTTGCTCAAAAAAAAAAAAAAAAAAAAATCTGGCTTTTAAACCATTAAAAATCATAATTACATGAATTGCCTTCTCAAATAAATGTCCACTTTATATTTTGAAGTGCACTCACGTAGCAATGGGACGCAGCAAACAAAATACAAAGTTTG